AAATAAGAGCATATTGGTAAACTTCAGAAAGGTAACTTACTTGGGGGAAAAGACACTCCAAACAAATAAATGGTTCCTCATCAGTAGCAACACAATCGTGTACGCAAGGAGAAGAATGGAATTCAGTCCAAGTGGAATTAGACAAGGATAGCCTAGGGTTGATTTCAAAAGATGTCCAAAATCAACATTATCTGGCTGCTGCTCAGATGCTCTCTTGTCCACCGTTGAAACACACATCAGCATGCTGAGAAGGGCTAACATTGGCGAGGCATACGTGATGACAAACATCAAAATACCGGATATAAAAGTCGAGTGGCTTGAGATACCCTGGAAATTAGTTGTACATTGGAGCTAAGGCGCAGGGTAATAGACTTGCATGAAAACATAATTGCAGAAGTTGGAGGTAACGATTATTAAAATTCTAGAAATAATAAATAAAATGAAATTAATAAATTAAGAAAAAAAATGAAGGCATACAATGAAAGCCCCAGCTACATCAATTGTGGCAAGAGTGTTTGTATTGCCTAGAGCAAAGTGGCCGGCCATCCCCAAATAGTACAGTGCTGCAACCTTGACAACACAGAAAACCCATGAAGTGAACCCTTTAAGCATGATGAAATATATGGAGAGTATATGGCACATGTATCGATTAATCAAGAAAGTGCTTCAGACTTTCTGAATTTCACAGTCAGGGAAGTTAAATATCTCAGCATAATTCAACTTATCCAAAAAAAAAAAGAATACTATAATTTAGACATTTAAACTAACCTTAACCCATTGCTTGAGATGTAAACCGCCCTCACAAAAATAGCGTATGCTGATCAGGATTTGCACGAGTAGTAAACAAATTGGTATCGAATTTATTGGTTGTTGTAGCAGCATTTGAAGCAGACACCAGGAAAACATATTACACCACCCGATTACAAATAGAGAGTTTCTAAACCCAGCTTCCGGAACTTCCTGCTGACTTTCTTGCAAAACATCGCGGGATAAAGTGATAGGCATTAACCATGGCACAGCTACAAGCATCCCCACAGTAGATATTCCAATAAGAGCATAGATAACTTGTATCATTGCAGTTGTTTCAGTACTCAATGTTATGAATGCCTCTTGGCATTTTAAAATATGTTTCAGAATCATTGCAGAAGGAAATAAATAAATCAACATTATCAACGCTGCCGAACGTGTTTTTACCCGCAATTTCAAAATAACGGCAAAACATATGACGACAAGGACCAATGACAGGAGATGCATGGACTTTATATGGACAGTCCCTGCCTGCTCGAGCAATTTCGAAATATCGGGTAAATAAGACCAGTTAACACCACCTTGATGCCAGCCTCTTAGAATTCTCCCAATTATGAGAACTGCAATGATGTAATATATATTACATGGACTTGTTATTTTCCTTTCTGGAGTCAAATTGGATGCATGGTGTTCTGTGATAGACTGTATAGTTCTTCTGAGAAAGATCAAATACAATGAAGTGGTCATGAAATACCAAATGTACTGTTCCTCCTCGATCATAGAACTTGAACCCATACTCAAAATGAGAATAAATATTATGCCGGCAGTAAAACACTCATCCAAACGCCACTTGTGCATGTCGTCATTAGAACCTGAAAGGCGTTGGTTTTTCATGAAGTTGAATTCTTGGCCATAAAGGAAAAGGAGGCTCATCACTCCTAGACAAGATAGACCCATTGCTGTAATTCCCAATGCAAGCAGATGGATAGGTTTCTGTAAAAGACCATATGTAAAAGAACAAGGAGAGAAAGATTAGAGCAGAGAATAATATCATCCTTTTTCTGACTTGAAAATGGAATAAACTCTCAGATTCTTAATAATATAGCACGCACATCAGTTGATCTGCTTGATAGCCACATGCTTGCAGTTGAAAGGAAATTACGGTATGCCAGAACTATGCTTCTGTAGTCATCCCCATTAACAGATCTATTCAAAGAATCACAAACGTAAGCATAACAGGCTTCAAACATGTTCTCAACAGTTTCTAGAAAAGTTAAGCAGGACATTAGTTATCTACCTCTGGGAACTTTTGGACAGCCAGGATTTATGAAGTGATATAGCTGCTAAATATGAGCAACAAAGTCTTTCTGCATCACTATTTTTACTACTTCCCGAATTGCAAGAGTATCTTTCACATCTCAGGTCAGTGAAGTGGGTCTGTAGTAGCCTTAACAATTGCCATGAATTCAGCTCAAGTATTCTCAGCTGTTGGTCATCTGCTTTATGAGGAAGTGGTAAAGGCATGTACATCATAAAAAGTACAATAGACAGAAGGGAGAAAACAAAGGATGAAGAAGAAGAAAAAAAAGGGCTCCAAATTAGGTGCAAGTCTGAAACACCTTTGTTATGAGATTCAAGTCCTTGGAAAGTTCTTTCTCAGTCTGAGAATAGGTGTACGTCATTTTCAAATTAATGACAATTATTTCATTCAAGATTTTTGTGTGTGTGTGTGCGTGTGTGCGCGTGTGTGCTTGCATCTCTAATTGGCTCGTCGACCTTTTCCCCGTTTTTCATCAAAGTCTTTCAGGACTACAAATTCACCATTTAATGGTAATACAAGGGTATAACGAAATTTGATATGACCAGATGTTCCCTATTGCGTGTTCTCCAGTTTCATGGTTCTAAAGTCTCTACTCTTGTTTTGTTTCTCTTCTTTTATCCTAAAACATCTATTTTTGCATCTATCATCATACTCAAGATTACATTCTGGTACCTCCCAAAGCGTTTTCAAAGAGATGAAACAGTTAAACAAAGACAAAATTTATGAACTAAAAAAAATATATTATTAAACATACCTTCGAGAGATGTGAAAACGCCTGTCATCACAGTGCCAACATTGTTCTGGGGGATTGGAACACCAAAAAGAAGAGCCAATGTTGAAGCTATGTCAACCTAAAAACCATGATGAAGTCTTAGCACATTTATCATGGCATGCTTCACTTCACATCACATAGTAGTAATCATGAAACTGACTGGAACTAAGGATCAACATGGGGGAAAGAAAGAGTGAATTATTAACAACATGCTCGAGAAAATCTCATGTGATTTTGATATCATATTAGGCAACATATATGCTTGGTGTAATTCTCTGTAAAAATGTTTAAAACCCAGCCATGCAAGTAAATCAAAAGACGACAAATATGTTTTGTAATGATAACCAAACTACAAAATGGCATGCCAGAATACATGATTGGTCAGATACCTGGTAAGCTTCTTGGCTTTTCTCTGGAATTTTAAATTTTTGGCCACTAACAAAAATTGCCAAAGAATCTGTTTCCTCAAATGAAGACCCTCCATGATTACCACTGTCAGTCATGCCATGATCGCTCACTATCATCTGGAATCAAAGCACAGAAAGACTGGATATTTTAGCATTATAAACTGCAACACAGTGAATTGTAAATGAACCTAACAATCCTTGTGAATGAATCACAACTCACAAATCCACTTGGACAAAGATGCAGTGAATAGACAATATCTTATGACTTGCATGTCGACTTGGAATCTTGTCATAATTGACCACAGTTACTATTATTTAGATATCCAACACTGTCTGAATAATCCTCCCAAACTAATGATTATAACAGAGAAACATGGCACGTATAAGCACACCTACTTTACTACAGTACAAGTGATTTTTTAATAAAACAAATAAATCTTTAGTGATTCACATAACAAGACGTCTACTGTTTATTCGGGCAGAAACAATTGATTAAAAAGTGAGTTTTATTAGTTCGGGTCCCAAAAGATGGATCAATTACCAATTCAGAGCCTCAAAGATAATTCTATCGATTCAGGATCCGAAAGGCATGAAGTTATTAATTTAAGGCTCTAAATTAAACCCGTTAATACTCTTCTAACCAGGTGGTGACACGCCAGTCAAGAGGATAATAAAAAAGCATTTGAAAATAAAATCTGACAGATACGAGAAAGGGTTGGGGGCACTGAAGTAGGTGAAGTGGTTGGATTTTTGCAAGCTGTAAAAGAGATGGATAATATAATTAAATTTCTTCTCTTGTTTCATTTTATTTTCGAACGAGACTGAGAAATAAATTCCGGATGTCATCATCCAACGGTTGTTTTCATTTTGTATTTTTACTCCAATGTTTGCAATTTACTACATTTTATATCACGTACCTGATGCCGGCCTTGATGATGTTTCACGTTATGTAAGTGTGTGTGTGTGTGTGTATGTATGTATATATATCTATATCTATATATAACACACACACAGACATATATATATATATACAACTGTTCTTCTATTTATTTTCTACACAGCCATGTTTAGAGTCTTATAATGATAGATTCATATATTTCGGCTTCCTCGATAGATTATGTCTTTCAAGCCCCAATTTGACAGTTTACCATTCCCCGTGATCCCAAATTGATTGATTCTATCTATTAGGCCTGCGTTGATTATTAACCTATCCTTCAGGACGCCAACTGAAGAAACTCCAAGAAAGAAAGAAAGAAAAAATGGGAGGGGGAAGGTATTATCATATATATAGATTAAAGAATGAGAACATTAAACCTAGATGAAACATGTCTAAAAAACTTTTCAGCACTCGCAGACAGTATAAAGCAATTGCGCTAATATTATCCTTCATGCAATGCAGGCAATAACTATGTTTTCATACAAATTGGTACTCTGCGCGCACCAGAAATTCCAGATGATGAGAATAAAGCAGCACGAACCAAAAGTGTCTGTTTCTGGTTATTATTTTCAGTAGGTGTGATACTTGAATGGATTTTTTTTATAACTTCATCCATCTCCACGAGCTTGGGGGCCATCAAGATACTGAAAAAAGATAAATCAATCAAGATACATACAAATGATACTTTATTAGCAATATATAGCGAAACGGAAGCATTACCTATTACGTCCACCAATATGTCCAACATGATCCACTCCAAGATAATGAAGAATCTGGAATAGTAAAGACTCCTATGAATTTCAACATTAAGAAGCAACCTAAGGCAGAAAACGATTGCTACTGCTACTATTATAATAACAATTATCATTTTTCATAGTCCATTGTTATTACCATTCAATATAGTCATTCTTTGGATCTAATACTCGATGAAGTGACAAATATAAAAAGAAAAAAAAAGATAATCTTAACCTGATAAGAAAACTCAAACAAAATTATCATATGATTAAATAACACGATCCGGTGGGATTTTACCAGAAGATCCCAGTCCCCAATGTCAAGCTCATATGTCAAATGTCGAGAAACATTGTAATCCACTTGAATGGTGTCTTTAACCTGTAGAAAGATCCAACCATTACAAGAATCGAGATTTTGTTCTGTAAAAAATCTCCTTCCTTCCAGTTAAAATGGTGACAGAAGAAAATGCAAACAGATGACAGCAGAGAAATCTTTTTGCTTCAGATCGTTGTATACTGGCATCCAAAATATAACATCAATATGTTGTATTGTATAGCTCTTCTGTGAAGCCACTGACCCGACATTTCCACACCATTTATTTAACCCCACTTTCAAAATGTAAGACCAATCCAGAGACAACGAAAAAGGTGCATGGGTCTCCACCAGGCACATCATTTAACATACAGAAATGAATATTTCTGCTTCTAGGATATTGTTTTCCCTATTACTAGATGTTAATAACTTAATAAGCACAAGCTTTAGCATAAATAATTAATTCTGCATTCTAAACCCAACATGGGAGAGAGAGAAAGAGAGAGAGAAACGAGAAAAAAAATCATTAAACAGGAAAATACTATAATATTCATATGCTATGGAGTAGTTTGACACATTCTTCTTGTTTAAATCATCTTCCACTCTCCATCACGCTAACAGAAACTGAAAACTTCTATAAGAGGAGACGTCGAGATGGAAATCACTAATGTACAGGTTTAAGGACTTACAAAGAAACTACTAACTCCATCATGTCTATCAAACATGTCAGGAAACAGCTTGATCCATGTTTCATCACCAAGCATCACCATTTTCCATCCAATTCTGCGAAACTGAGCTGTAGCATAGATTAGAGATGCAAAAGTGAGAGGTCGACTGTCGACATTATCTTTTGTTCAGATGATAAGAAACAGATTACTATAGAACTAACCAATAAGGTTATCATCCAGAAATGCTTGTGTGTTAAAATTGAATGCGATATCCAGGAATCCTCCAATAGCTCCAGATACCATAGCCTGCCAATAATCGTCAAATATGGTTCACTCCCCGAGTAAAGATTCCTCGGAAGATAAACAATGATGATTTAGTTTTACCTTCAGGCGGGGCATTGTAACAGTTGGAGGTGCAGCCTTAGCATGATACCCAATTGCCAATCCTTCAGCCAATAATGACTGTGTATAAGGCATAGCTTCTGCAAAAGCCATACTTGGAGGCTTCCCATCCTTCCCAATCACAAATTCGGCTGGTAGGCCATCAATAACCTAAAGTGTTTAAGTTTTTCTAACTCTTAATGCCCAATTCTCAGAAAGTTGCATTTTTCCAGAAAAACAATGTCTTTTTTCACTAACAAATCCAAAACTTCATACCATGATTATTAATCTATCATATAATGGAGGAACACCGGATAGCTCCTGCATCATTCGTCACTAAGACACATAAGATTGTGCCAGAAACAGATTAACTATAGAAATAAAATTGACAGAACCATACAAATCTGACAAAAAAAAAAAATAAAAAATCATTCAACTAAAAAATCTAAGTCTGCCCATGTCTTGAACCAGGAATATATGCAACAAAATTGTGTGCCGGCAAACAATTTCCGACAAATGCTGACCTCGTATAAAGACTTGAGCTTTTCAGGAGGCAAAGTTGAGTTTTTTCGGGTGCCGTCATCAGTCGAATCAAAACCAGGAGGATAAAAACTCTCCAACCCACTACAAAAACAATGAGCATCATACAGTGCAGAAAAAGTTTTAGCAAAGAACTATGATGAAGAAGAGTATTATTACCTCATGCCGGAGAAAGAAGGCTTCACCGGAAAGAATCCCACAATAAAAAGCGAGAGGCCGATGATTTGGATCGTCACTGCTAAGACTGTGAAGAACGTCAAATTTCTGCACGTCAGTGTGTAGCAATTGCTCATTCTTCTCGGCATTTGGTTGCTCTTACTCTGTGTGGGAGAGTCGCCGGCGGCAAGTTTCTCACAAATGGAATTCTTTTCCGTTCAGCCATTAATGATGAAGCCATCATATACGTGGGCTGGGCTTGGGTTGCATCGACCTTTGACTCTGTGGTGTCAATATAGGCTAACCAAAAGAAATGGGCCTAAAGTTTGGTCCAGTAGGAGATAAGGACACTCTATGTCCTTTTTTAAAAGGGTTAATTGCTAAATAAACCTTAATCTTTTTGAGTTTGACAATTTTATCCCAATCTTTGGGTAATTGCAATATAATCTCGACCTCAATTTACTTATTGCAAATTTGGTTGCAGAGTGATTGGTTTTAGGGATTTGTGGATCGACTTTGTGCTCAAGTCTTACATTGACACGAGTTTTTATGTCATCCACGTAGCAAATTGACGATTTCCACGTATTTCATGTATATCCACGCACAAAGACGAAAATTCCACGTCAATGTAATCTACCGGTGATGAGTCTACTCCTAGATCTTGAGTGAACCGATAAATATGAGCTCCGATCTGTTCGAACCGCCTTCAAATTGACCAGTTTTTTGAAGGACCAACCGGTTCTAGGTTCGAATTGCAATAAGTAATTTAAGGTAGAGATTATATTGCAATTACCCAAAGATTATGATAAAATTATCAAACGCAAAAATGTTTATTTAGCAATTAACCCTTTTTAAAATGTAGTTTTTTTTTTTAATTATATGCCTTACTGAATGCAAAAAAATAAAAATAAAAATAAAATAAAAATTATATGCCTTATCAATTAAGTAAAAAGGGTCATTTCATTTCAATTTTTAACCCCCTATTTTGGTAAAAAAGTTTTTGTTCCTAAGAATTTAATAAATGGTGTGTTTTTTTTTTTTGT